CTGAAAACTTCAAAGTTAAAAAAAGAACATTGGGGATCATTACTATCCAATCTGTACTGTGCGCATGTCAATGAATTACGCGAAATTGGCTGTGTATGATGTAATATTTTTTTTCATGGAGTTTCCAATTTTTCTTAAACTAGCGTTGATAAAGTTATGTAGATTTCATAACATATTAAAATTTTTTTTCTGTTCAAAACTAAAATATAAAACAGAAATGAAATCTTTTTTAAAATGTTAAACAGAAATAAATAATATTGCCGTAACAGTAAGCATGTTTTAGTTTCATTATTCATCATCGCAAAATAGCAGTGTCATTTTGCATAGAAGTATTTTTCCCTAGCATTATTAAGTATTTTTCTTTCATAATTTATTATTGCAAAGGTGTAGCAACATTTAGGATAGAAGAGTTTTTCCTACTTCCATTTTTAGGGGAGGGGGAGAAAATATTTTAAGGTCAATTGGTTCCAAACATTTTGAAGGTGGGGCCCAGTTCTTATAATCAAAAGTTTGTTGACTCAGAATTCAAAGCACATTCTGCCGCAAATTATGTTTCATCAATGAAGTGGAAATATTACTTTTCGTAAAAATATTTTTTCCTTCTTCCATTTTTAGAGGGGAGGTTCTAGGGGCGCCTTAGTTTAAAATATTTTGCAGATGGGCCCCGGGTTTGTACAATAAAAAGTCTGTTAACTCGTAATTTTATGCATATTGTGCCACAATTTGTACGCATTTTTTTGTTTCATAATTCATCATTGCGAAGATGTAGTATTTATCTATCCTTTTTTTTCCTCCTATTTTTAGACGGGGAACCTTGGTTTCAAAATTTTGTAGGTGGGGCCCCTGGTTGTGCATTCGAAAATGTGTAAACTCAGAATTCCATGCACATCCATTAGGTTGAAGATGCAGTTCCCTGTAGTTATCTAAATTGAGACGCACTTAGGTAGTTTCAGACTCATTAAATAAAATTCTAATTTAATATTTTACTCATAATGCCAATAATCAAACCAATTACGACAAAGTAAGTTTTAAAGTTATACATAAAAAAAATTATTTTTTTGTTCAAAAGGAAATGGAGTTAGAAGACTCAGGGGACGATCACTTTTTAAGGTCTATGGCAAGTCCGACCCTGGTTATGTCCTCAGTGGAGTGTCACCTAGAGAGAGAATACTGGTTTCATGTCATAACTTCAGTTGTACGTATGTTTTTAACTTTCCTCAATTTTAAGTTTTTGAAAAACTTTGGTTAAACACTGTGTTTCAGGCAGTTTAATATAAATGAAAAATATTTTGAATGGTTTATGATACCTTACATTAAAACCTAAGTTCCAAATTTTGGATTTTCCTTTTTCTAAATCTTAATTGATTTCTATTCAAATTGAAGTATTGACATGATGGTGGCATACAGGGCTAAAGACATTCACCACACAAAACGTCAAAATTTCTCATTCCAACAATTCTTCTACAGACCAACTATGAAGGTGAGTAAAATCCCATTTTTGTTCGATAGTGTAACGCAGGGCTAAAGAGAATAGAAGGGCTAGTTCACTCCGCTCTTAGAGCTGAAGCTACGATTTCCCTCCTCATGACATCACTGTGTCCACAGATCTCGGAGATCGCAAGCAAAGATATTATGATAACTTTGCATCTTTCTCTTTGTAAAAATAAGTTAGACTTTTTCTGGTTATTAGCTTTCAGACTTCACGTAATTAACACATTATTTCCGTTAATAAACATAGTTCAAAAAAACTTTCTTGGCCATTATATTAAAAAAAAAATACCATTTTAAACTAATAAAAATGTTTTACTAGTTGGCGAAAATGACACTATAAATA